AGTAGAATAACCTAGTAAACAGTCTTTTAGCCTTTGTGAGGAAGCAACCAAGATCTAATCCTCTACTAGAGTCTAGCTTAGACTCAACATGATTTGCTTTGTTGTAAAATTAAAAGAAATTCTGACTTTGGCAAAGATGATAGGGACTAGAAGGAGAAAATAAAATCCTTGACTTTTTTTATAGTTCTGGTTATACTATCTTGCACAACAGGTTTATGACCTTAGTTCATCAACCAATTATGAAACTCCATTAAACTTTACACAATTTCTAGGAATGAGAATACCAATCTGATACCTTTTTTTATTATAAAACAACCTATGTCTTTTAAACATCATGGACGTAGCAGTCCTTGCAAAATTTTGAATAGTTTCTAAACTTTTTTTGGTGAAAATATGAAAAAAATTTGCTTTTATTATGGGGACAATCTTGTTGACAATGTTTTTGAAAGTAGAGTTAATTTTTTCAGAAAATCTCAGGTTAAATGAAGTGTTTTAAAATACATGGTGTGTGGGTGGGATGTTTAAATATATATATGATTTTAGGAAATATGTGTTGACATACGAGATAAGAGAAAACCATAGATGTGATATACCACTGTGAATTCCCATCAGATTTTCCTCTGATTTCCAAGAAATTGTTATGCTGTTTTCTGCTTTCATTGTGTTTGCTTAGATATATAAAGACTCCATGACAATCTTGTGTCATATAATGCTTAGGTTAATCTTTTCAACAAATATATATCTGTCTGCAATTGTATGGTCTAAGGTTTCATCAATTTTATGTACCACTTTGAATTTTGGGTGTTTTTTGTTTATTTTTTTAGAATGATTCTAAAAAAAAAATTCTCTTTTGTGAGAAATTATAAGCAATCATCACAAATCAAAGTAGAGCATTCACATGTGGATTTTTTTTATTCCTTATCTAGGAAATAGGTTACTTCTGTTGTGTGCTGTGATTCTCATTATACAAAGAAAAAAACTGCAGCTAAATATCCATAAAAAACTTTTCAGCAAACAATACAATATGGTTTTGGCTGCATTGATACTGAATACAGGAAGAATTTTTGGTGTGAAAGAAATGGTGCTAGGGTGTAAATATATTTTAGGATATGTCTGAGAAACAGTGATTTCATCATTAAGACTGCAACTTGTTGACTTCTGGTTATATTGTAGACGTTCCCGTTTCTATAAAATACATAAAATGAAATTTCTATCTTTTGCAATTCACTTTTAGAGTTGCAGACCAATAAAAATATACAACCCCATCTCATTAATGAGGTGAATACAGTGTTGTCTCAGAACAGTATTACTCTACATAGATTCTAAAGCAGAGAAAAATTCTACATATAGAAAAATAAAATCAGTCACATGACAGACTGCAACCAGGAATCCAATACTACTACATTTGGCATAGGTTTACCTTTCAACTCTTTAATGACCGTAAAAGTCAATGTAATTGTATACTTTAGTCTATCTTTATTGCTTTTTCAGAATAACAAACTACTACTTTTCTTTGTATCATACAAGAGTATTTGACCATAAAAATAAGATGCTGCCATTTTATGTTTCATAACGTGCTTTCATCCAAAATCTCTAAAAAGAGAAAAGGACAGGAAATATTTTGTTATTGATGAGTGCAGGCACCTGAAGGGTAAAAGATCTTAACTTTAAAGGGAAATTCCCATGAATCCCTTTTAAAACAACAAAGAAAACAAGCAAAATGAAGCAAATTGGCAACATCAAATTTCAGGAGTCCTGCAGTGACTGTATTAACCCAGCCATCGAAATTAGTAGGCTTAGGAAGGCCTGTGATACGTCTTAGTGGGGATAAAAGTTAGTATAGTAAGTACACTGAGTTTATTCTTTTGAATAAAAAATGTCTTTAATTTTGTTGAATACAGTAGATTTTACAGTGGTCAAAGCAGAGTAAGGAGTCATGCCTTAAATCTTTTCAAGTGGGCTAAATTTATGTGGATTTTATTAGTAGTACTATTAAAATCATATGCTTCTCAAGGGGCTTGGAAATCTCAATTTAAAATAAGCCTATTTAATTGTCATATGGTGGAAGGAAAGAGGTGTTACTATTTCACTATAAAAGACAGGAGTTGTTGCAACATTTGACATACTTTTTAAGGAGGACTTATGGCCTCTAGTTAGATACTGGAGCTCTTCAGAAACTTAAATAAATAACTAAAATGGAAAGTCTTTTTAAAAGGCCTTTCAAATTAATATACTCAAACAATGTCATAAACTTTCCAGGACAGACAAAATATTTTACACTATTTAGTCAGTAGAATATATTTTATGACATCGGGCTGTGCAATATAAATAACACTCAAAGAAAGCATTTGAATCCAATTATAAACTGTGAAAAACTATAGACATGGTATCTTATGGAAAGCATTATATAGTATGTGTATTATGCATACCATATGTATATACTATAGTAACATCTGTTTTCAAACGTAAGGGATTTCTATCTTTCTTTCTTACTGCAATAATATAGTAAGTAGTTAAGCATATGAAACCAACAAATGTACTCAGTTATTTTAGAACGATGCAACAGAAAAAATATATGTGCAAGTTTTTATGATATTAGAGTAAAGCATATTTCTTCCCTTAAAAAACACATGGAAAAAGAAAAAAAACCTTCCACAGTTTCATAACAGGGCAACTTTTTTTTTTTTTATTATTTTTTACAGATATAGAAGGTGGAAAAGCAAGGGAATTGTGCTGTTTACTCTAAATCACATTTAAATCTCCTTTGAGTGTTATGTGCTAAAATCAGCATTTTTGACATCTTAATCCAGATGCATGAATTACTTTCCAGCAAACAACAAGGAGATTAATAAAAAAACTGTTCTCTCAGCACCTTGCTGATTTAATACCTGCTTAACTCCTGCAGCATATCTTGCTCTCATTAAACTGCATACACATAGTTAATTTTCTTTTTTTTTTTTTTATTGAAAATCTTACATGTATGACTAAAAGTTGTGGGTGATATCTTTCAGTTCCATTACAAAATCTGTCATATATATATATATATATATATACACACCTATATATATTTAATACAACTAGAAGCAAATCTACTGAATTATGAAACAATGATTGTCTACCAAAATGTAATTCAAATTAAATATGTTGCAGATGATTAAAATTATTTTGTTTTCTCTGATGGAGCAGAAGGCCACTTTCACATAGTTAATTGATAATGCTGGGCTGCAAAAATTACAAAGCCTTAACGATAATTTCCCAACTCCCAGCCTGGTGTCACCCGTGCATTAGAATTTTAGTACAATGATTCTTCTTTCAGTATTTTAGAGTGAACATCAATCTCTATGGAACACCTTCTATTCACAAACACAGTCCTGAAAACAATTCTGTATGCCTTTCAGTAACTGCAGGCAAGACAAGTCATTTCAAGTTCGGTACAAGCAAAAATGTTTGCAGGAGCAGAGTCTAATTCAGGAACTCATCTACATATTATTTAAAATAAAACAATCTAAAATAATACTTAAAAACACTATTTTACTTGAATATATGCCTTATTATCTAGTAATAAATCATGAAAGATGAAGTATAAATACTGTCAGAACCATAAAAAGTTGTCTAATTCTAAGAAATCCTATTTCAAAATCATACAGTGTTCTAACCTACAGCAGACGTCCTTCTGTTTTGGCACTCCTGAACCAGCGTAGAAATTATGTGCAGTAAGTTAACATTTGGGGAAAAAAACTTATGTGCAGCAGGATCTAAAGTTGATTTCTGTAGTTAATAGCATTACATTGCTTAACATAAGAAAGAAACTGAAAGGAGTCTTTTACTGTTGTTCAGCAGCAGCAAAAGAGAAGTGGAAGGAGAAGAGCAAGCTGTTTACAGTCTTTGAAGCATACAGCATGCTTAACCTTGAAAATTAAATCTTGCATTAAAGACACTCCCAGCTACCTCTGTAGTCTTCTTTCCAAAAATTCAATCTACAAATATTTTATTTAAATGTCTCAGACTTTGTAATGGCTCAGAACAACCATATGTCCTTGGAGCTGCCCTCCCTTCTCAGAGATGAATGGTGGGTAAGATTGCTTTACTGTAATTTCTCCATTTCCATGCTTCATTTCCTACATTTATCTGAGACTAGAGAAAAATCAGCATGTTCTGACAAGTCTAATACCATGAGGCAGTAAAATGGACCTGAATTTAGTGGAGATTGAAGCTCCAAAATAAATATAACTCTTTATGTCAAATAATAATAAAAAAGGATAAATTCTCCTGTACAAATCAGAAGAGATAATAAAAAATAGCAAATAGATAGCAACATCTTTTCTATACCTACATGGGCATCACAAAACTTTTCAACCCAAAGAATACCCCTCCATATTTCTCATTTTATGTGGTTTGTAAACTACTTCAGTAAGTTGATGACAATTATTGTGGAATTTTAGTACAAACAGTAATTTTTCATAAAACTACCCAGAAAATTACAGAGATTTCTAATTAAAGAGCTCTGAGAACAGGGAGAAGCAAAAAATCTGCTGGGCTTTTCTTTGTTTTCATGTCTGTCCTTCTGGTTTTGGCCTTTTAAGTTGCATAAAATGCTGTAAAGAAAATTTGTTAAAAAAACCCTTGTATCTGTAAATACTATTTATTGTAATGTTGTACAGTATGATATATTTTTGTAAATTTGTTTCTTCTTACACTGATCTCATACCAGACACTCTGTGTTCTAGACGTAGCAATACTGTGAAGGCATCTAGAGAGTCTCATGGCTCACTGGTATCACAGTGCATCACATACTCTTGGAAGTGAGTTGCCTCTGCAGGTATCTGAGGGTCGCTATCTATTTGAACATGGCTGAGCATTTCATGTTATCAAAAATGCCACCAAATGCTCATATTCTGTGTGGTCAGTGCAGTCCCTAGGACAAGTCTAATGAAGATATGTTCCAACAAGGCAAAAAACCTAAAAGATTAAAAATGGAGAAATATTTACAACTTTCTTCAGTCTGTAAGGTTGAGTTTTCTGTTTTAGTACTCTTCAGTGCATTTTCATAGAAAGGTTCCAAGGCTATGAGTATAAGCAGTCTGGTCCAGTACCATACATATCTGCAAGCCTTTTAAAGCGAGGGCCCCAGTCACTGAGGTAATCGTAGTTCTGGTCAGAGTTTGAGCTGATTGAATCTAAAGAACTCAGTGACTCTGCCACTGAGCCGTTCCCCTCAAACGCGTATGTCTGCAGGGAGTCGTAGGGTGGCGCGCAGGGGTCCACGTCAGCTTCTTTTAGTCTCTCCCAGATAAATTCCCTAAAAATGACGTTATCCGGGATGCTTTTAAACGTTGGTCTGCTCAAGAACTGAATCTCAGGTGTCACATCCCTTCTGGTCTTGGTGTCTCGGATGATATTGAGGTTTCTCAAGGCAGCCATGTCAAAAGCCTCGGTGTCTTCTTCTCCACCACCTTCATCATCGTACCTGACAATGTTCTCTCTGATATCTCTCTCTTCATCAAAAATGAGGGGTTCTTTTTTCCGTCGCCTCATGGTGACAATCAGCAAGACAAGAACTGGAACACAGAAAGACTGGAGTTTTAGAAATGCTAGTTTCCTCATATTTTTCCTAGTGGTGGAAGTACTCATTGATTTCTATTGCAAAGACCCAAGGGAATAGAAGGCAATTTATGCAGTGAGATTTGAAACCTAGCAGGTTCTGAAAAAGGTTTTAGAACATAAACTTTTTAGATGTTAAAGAAACTAGTTCCAAAACCACTCTGGATTAATGTCTTCATCTCTAATTCTATATCCTATGCTGTCTGCTAAACATAAATTTTAGGACTTGTTCAGCCTGACTATTACTATCTTACCACCATGAAATTAAAAAAAGACCTTTTCTTGAACTCTTAATTGCCCAAGTGGTAAAAGCACATTAATAACACAACTGAATATAATTTAACAACCACGGTTTGGGAAGTGACTGAATTAAAAGTATATGGCCAATCTCTGCTAAAAAAAAAAAAAAAAAAAAATTGAAAAAACGTAGATTGGAGAACACTGAATTGTTAAGTAATGCATAAAATAAGACTGTCTTAGTTTATGGATTAAAAGAATCTCTATATAAGACCTCATTTTCCTATAAAGTACAAAGCACTGTACTTCAGGTTTATGAATTACATCTAATGAGAATTGCTATGGCTGGAGTTTATTAGATCAGACAGTGCTAGAAATGTAATTATTTAAAAAATGTAATCTTTAAAGTTTCTTTCAGCTAGAAGGTTAATATTAAACTGCAGTGGCAGCCAAAAGAACTAGGAGAAACTAACTCAAGGCATCTCTTGCTCAAATACAGTTTTGATAGAGAAACATAATTGCTGACACACAAAATATGGAACCAGCAATACAAATATTGCACCCATCTGTGGGACATGATGGAGTGTGAATCATCCTCCTAGAGAATGATTAATACTGTATTGTAGCATCTGGATAACATTTGCTGAGTTAACGATACTCCTAGAAAATAGCAGGCGTCACTACGACTGTAAATATAACAGTACGCTGAAAAGTAAGTGTCATTCCACATTCAATTAATCTCTTCTGACTTCATGTTTATTTACAGTCTTAAGAATATGTGATTATATGCATTCATATGTCTAAGGTTTACAATCTTTAGTTACAGTACTTGGATGTGCCAACTAAATGATGTAGAAACATCTGGAAAAAACAAAAGCTGATATAGATAAAATTAAGCTTGAGCTTCCCTAGGTAGTCTCAAATGTGGCCTCCGTAAACTGTATGATGTAGCACTGCCATTCTGGAAAGCCCTTCTTTTCATAGAGGAATTTAAAAAATCAATATGAATCTAGTCATCATGAAGCATGATTTAATATTGGGATCATTTGGCTAGAATAAATCAATCATTCAGAGACTATACATGCAGAAAACATCTACAGATGTTATGGTACTATTTGTAATTGGCTAAAGCATAAGATCACTTTAAAGGCAGACTTTCTGCAATTCTTTTTCTCTTCCTTTGAAGCCCTGCATGTCTAAAAATAAAACTGGAACAAGTTCAATTTTTTTTCTAAACTTTTTGACAAATATATTAGGCAATATTTTTCCCCCTTTTTTCAGTAGCTACCAGGCATACATCTAACAATCTGTCTAATAACAGATGCCTTGTGACTCCATATTACTGCAGCATCAGCATCGCGCTCTCTCTCTCACTTTTTTGCCTCTGGCATCTTCCTGATTCATGCGTTATGTATTGAATTCAGAAGCCACTAGTATGAGGCATTATGCTTTGAACAATATTTACATAAGCACTTTGACAATACAGGATTTTGACCTTTAAAGTAGTTTTGGGAAATTTCAAAACATTCTGATATTTGTATAATACAAATTGAGCTGTAAATTATACAGCAGAGAACATAAAATCGTCATCACAGAGACAACAATTGGACTCCAATCTGATTTTTTTTCCTTATTATGAAAGATATTCTTTAAATTAAAGTCAAATTAGCTTGCTGAGAGTAAAAATATACATTTAAGCCAAGATTGCTATTGACATAACATTTTAATTATTATTTTTAAGATTTGCTCCCACAATTTTTAAGTAAACAGCTAATAATTTCCTTTACTCAAGTGTAAGTGCATTTTCACACTACGGTCTCCCTTAACATACTTCATTTTGAAAGTTAAATACCTGCTAATAAGTGAAAAATAGGAAACTTAGTAGGCAGGTATGCCTAAAGGTAGAATAAAAATCAAGAAACAATGAATGTTTTATATAGTATTCCTTGTACATGTCACACTTGCTTGAAGCCAAGAAAAATATGGAGTCTTCATAAAGGTTAAATATTTTAGCATTTAGATGGGTTTATGAGATTATTAATTCTAGCCTTTCCAACAGCTATGAACACTAAAATTTAACCTCTAAATGAAAAAAGCTGCATTGAAGGAACTGCAGAGATGAATAGAAGCCCAAACAAATTTCACTGATATCTAAATCAAGTGCAAATGGTTTTAAAGCTTATCCATTGCTTATTAAGTCATGGCAAAACTTAAATTTATGCTTTTTTAGAGAAGAAATAATACAACAGAAAAGCTTTAGGGACATACATATTGAACATCGAAGCCACTTGTTTGGCTACATACCGGTATACTGAACTCATGCTAAAGAGATGGCTATACTGATTTCATATGTGATTTAAAGATAAACAAACAAAGCAATATTAGAAGTAACTAACTTTAAAGGCTAAATAACCAGGAGTAATAAACAATAGATCTAAATAAAAATTTTGTCCTGATTTATCTGAATCATTCCAAATGTTGATTTTATTTAACAGGCATAATAGTCAAAAGACAATGTCATTTGTATTTGTATTAGTCGTGGTAATACATATTTTTATCCTTGTGTCAGTATAGAAGGAATAATATAGAAGGATAATAGCAGTATCAGTTCACCTAAATCAGTCTTCAAACAAACTCCTTTGAATAAAAGAGTGGACTTTTGTTTTGCCATTTTGTAGTGTGCTTCATGGAAATAATATGAAAATTCCATTTCAGTATGATCTTGTGAAAAGTCAGGTTTAGGTCACCTGAGCATGTTTCTCTGTTTTAGTAGTACTATTTCCTTTTGCACTCAAGGCAACTGCAACATATTCGTAAGGAAGCCATAAAAGCCATGAGACAACCTGTGGGAGAAGTCTACATGCAGAGCTATACAGTAAGGGACAGAATTAAATCATAAGCATTATCATGCCTTGTATACACTACACCCCTAAGCCTGACATTTACTATAGCAATAAGCCGCATCAGCTGCAAGCAAATCTGCACATTGGTTTATGCCTCAGGTGTGTCATGATTCATAAAGCTGGAGATCCTTAGCCATCTAAGCAGCACACTAATAACCTATTTAGTTATACCTTGCAGTTGGCAGTAGAGTCAGATGAGATTTGGGGATTACAGAGGCCAAGACTCAGAGAATCTGCATTTAAATCCCAGTTAACAAGCTTCATATATAACTGTTGTTTATTCAGCTTGGATTGATATTTGCAAAGTAAATGTGACCTTTAAGTGTCCACACTGAGTGACCCTAATAAGCTCTATAACTTTCAGAAAACAGCTTCTACATTGAATACTCAACCACCCTATAAATCAGTTAATTTGGATACCCCCAAATTAAAAGTTATAGATTTCTCACTTTTAAAACTGCAAGACAAAACCCACACATGCTACACAGGCACTTCCTGTAAACATTTTACCTATTCAGAGAGTAAGATTCTTACGACTAGGACTGTTTATGAATCACACAACTATGTGTGCTGATTTAATTAGGTTCATAGAATCACGGAACGGTTTGGGTTGGAAGAGACCTTAAAGATCATCTAGTTCCAAACCCCCTGCCACACCTTCCACTAGCCCAGTTTGCGCAAAGCCTCATCCAGCCTGGCCTTGAACACATCCAGGGATGGGGCATCCACAGCTTCTCTGAGCAACCTGTCCCAGTGCCCTACCAAACTCTCTAAGAAGAATTTCTTCCTTATATCAAATCAAAATCTACCCTCTTTCAATTTAAACCCATTACCCCTTGTCCTGTCACTTCAGGCCCATGTAAAACGTCACCCTCCAGCTTTCTTGTAGGCCCCCACAGGTACTGGAAGGCTGCAATAAAGTCTCCCCAGAGCCTTCTCTTCTCCAGGCTGAACAAGCCCAACTGTCTCTGCCTGTCCCCATAGCAGAGGTGCTCCAGCCCTCTGAGCATCTTTGTGGCCTCCTCTGGACTCACTCCAACCAGTCGATACCCTTCTTATGTTGAAGGATACTCCAATTCTCCAGGTGGGGTCTCACCAGAGCAGAGTACAGGGGCAGAATCCCCTCCCTCGACCTGCTGGCCACACTTCTCTGGATACAGCCCAGGATACGGTTGGCTTTCTCAGCTGCCAGCGCACACTGCTGGCTTATGTTCAGCTTTTCGTCTACCAGTACCCCAAGTCCTTCTCCTCGGAGCTGCTCTCTATCCACTCTCCACCCAGCCTGTACTTGTGCTTGGGATTGCCCTGACCCAGGTGCAGGACCTTGCACTTGGCCTTGTTGAACTCCATGAGGTTGGCAGTGGCCCACCTCTCCAGCCTGTCCAGGTCCCCCTGGATGGCATCCCTTCCCTCCAGCGTGTCAACCCCATGACACAGTTTGGTGCCATCAGCAGACTTGCTGACAGTGCACTGGTTCTTGTAGATATTGTGATAATAACAAATCCCTCATCTTTCATGTGAAAAAAAAAAATAAATTAAATCTGTATTTTGAAGTTTAATCAATGTATAACCACACTAACAAGAGGCTTTCTGTTGTGTTTCTAAGAAAATAGGTGGTTCTAATAGATTATATTCAAAAGTATGGAAGATAAAAATAATGAAAAAGCATTATGCCAATCTAGCATTCTATTGTTTGAATACAAAGAAAATCTTTAACCTCTCAAATTCAACTGGATTATATAAAGGTGAACATTCTTTTCTTGTATGATTTTATGTACATATTTTATGCTAATGACTTGTTACAAAAGCAATTATTGTGTCTCAAAAATGCTAACTGAAAAACAAATTACCTTGATTTAAATTATCATATATATTTCAGAGGAGTTAAGAAATTCCTACTTAGTTCTCTAAAAATTATGTGCAGCCTAAAATGAATACAAACCAGCTTTTCATATGCTTTATATGGAGTAAGTTGCAGGCACCTTTTTTTTCTTTAGTTTTCTTCTTTTAAAACATAAATCACTGCAGAGTGATTAATTATAAAGGTCTTTTGAGTAAATAACAAACTACTGCAAGTTTCTTGTGCAAGAAAATTTAGAATTTAATCTCAATCTAAAGGAGGGAAAAATTTTTGGTAAATTTTTTTTAACTTTGAAAATTTATTTTAGTTTGAAAAAATAGTCTAAGCATATTATATGTAATTAGCATAAATAATATGATTTAGCAACATTCTTCCTTCTTAGCATCAGTGACAATTTTGTTCTTATCTAAAACTGATTGGTTGTTTAAGTAAAACCACTGAGACAATCTTAGTCATGGTCAAAAGAAACAGTTATCTATTAGACAAAGGGATGTATGGGTCAAGAACAAGTATCAAATTGTATCATACTAACTTTAAGAAGATAAGACCTTGTTGAGAATTCAAGATACTAGTGCCAGAATGCATGTATCCATGACATTTATGCAAATTTCATGCTTCCTCCACTTTACACTTGGCACTCACATTGAGATGACATTGATGAATGTGACTGGACTTGCACTGTTTGTTAAGCTTGGGTCAGAAAAAATGTACATCTGGAAGCCTGTCTCCTCTTTTCACTGATAAATTCTTACACAAAAAGTCGCATCCCTTGATTCCATCCCTTGATTCCATCCTGGAATCACTTGCCAACAACTGAAGTCTATTTTTTTATGCTGTGCTAGTGGTTCTTCAGGATTTTTTGTCAGGAATGGATGTGAAAACTAAAAGGAAAAATGGAGAAAGTAAATTCCTAGTAGTTCTACCATTCAGCTGATCCCAGAAAATGACTTCTAGGAACAAATGAGAGAAGAAGAAAGGTTTTGGGCCCACACTAGCAACAGCACTTTACTGGGGTTTCACTGGGCAGCAGTGATGCTTAGGTACCTCTTCCTTGTGAAGACTGGCACCTGGCTGGGAACAAAACAGCAGCATGATTGAATTTGAAGTTTGGATTGGAAGTGATGACAGTACATACAAATGTCTCTTTGGATAAACAGTGGTGATGTATTCAGATAGCTGAATTTGGAAATCCAGTTCTTTGACAAATAAAATGAATGTGGTCATATGCAAGATTCTTCTTCAGTGTACTGTCCACTATGTTCAGAGAGCTTATCCTCATTCTTTACCAAATGCTCATCTGGCACACTCTAAAAATGACCAGAATAAAACCTCAGGTTCCTTGATTTATTGGTTGCATTTGAACCCTGGTGTACTGAGTAGAATAAGCCAGTTATTGCCTGGTTACATGCTGTGTCTCCACATGCTCTACTCTAAGACATATGGATCCTATTTAAGAAAAGCATATGCCCAGATCAGACTGTGTTGTATATACAGCAGTTTCTTATATAATCTTCAGAAGTTTGCTCTTCATGTATAACAGAAATGGTGGCATTATAATTTGTGATGAATTGAACTGATATTGCTACAGAACTTTTCTTCTTAAGTACATTTGACTGAAGCTTCTAATGGGTGGTTTTCTACTGATGCCAATGCCATTTGATATAAGAGAATCTTTGTATATCTTTTTGAACTCTACCATTTAGCTTCATGTCCAAATAAAATACATTCAATTGTATAAAAGGTCTAGAAAAACTACCTGAAATACGGTATTTATAAAATATTCCTTTAAAAAGTTTGGTAATCATTCCCTTCTTTTTCTCCTTAAACTTAGTCTTAACCATGTGTTGAGGGAGTTTAAACAATTTTATGTTGTTAAGTTTTTTTGTCACAAATATGGAAAAGTCTGCAAATGTCACCTCCTATATATAGCTACTGAGTAAGTCAGTTGTGTTCATTGAGGAGGTAGTGATTTTTCTTACTATGTAACCACAATGAAAGAGCATTTCTATTTTTCAGTTCAAACATTGAGGACAAACATTCTGAGTACAAACACTGAGAAATGTTTGTAGCAGAATGCACATTTCTTTCTTAGGGGTACTGGTGGGTGAAAAGCTGAATATGAGCCTGCAATGTGCACTGGCAGCCCAGGAATCCAACCATTTCTTGGTCTGTATCTAGAGAAGCGTGGCCAGAAGATTGAGGGAGAGGATTCTCCCCTTCCACTCTGCTCTCATGAGACCCCACCTGTAGTACTCTGTCCAGCTGTGGGGCCCCCAGCATAAGTAGGGTATTGACCACTTGGAGCGAGTCCAGAGGAGGCCACAAAGATGCTCAGAGGGCTGGAACACCTCTCCTGTGATGAAAGGCTGAGACAGTTGGGCTTCTTTAGCCTGGAGAAGAAGAGGCTCCGAGGAGACCTTATAGCAGCCTTCCCGTACCTGAAGGGGCTACAAGGAAGCTGGGTGGGTGACTTTTTACAAAGGCTTGTAGTGACAGGACAAGGGGTAACGGATTTAAACTGAAAGAGGGTAGATTTATATTAGATATCAGGAAAAAATTCTTTCAGAGAGGGTGGTGAAGCACTGGAACAGGTTGCCCAGAGAAGCTGTGCATGCCTCATCCCTGGCTGTCTTCAAGGCCAGGCTGGATGAGGCTTTGAGCAACCTGGTCTACTGGAAGGTTTCCCTGCCCATGGAAGGGGTTTTGGAACTATGTGATCTTTAAGGTCCCGTCCAACCCAAACCATTCTATGATTCTACGACTTTGTGTGTCTAATGGTTTACAGTGCATTGAATCAGTCAACAAGAAGAGAAATCTATACATTGTTGAAATACTGCCATGAACAGAAGTGTTGAAAAAATTCTGTTGATTTGACTTATTCAAATTTCTTGGATAGCAGTGACAGATAAAGTACCACTGGGATTATAATAACCTGAGGAGACTATGGTCTTCCCCTTTAGACTGATATGTACAGCCACAGAAGAGAAAAATCTCTCCATTGACAGCAATGAAGAGCACTCAAGAATTCTTCTGTGCTGTGTCAATACTCTTGTTAACATGTGATTTTTCTGACAATAAGCCAAACTGCACTTTCACTCATCTACATCCTTCATCTTGATTAGGCCTTTACTACTACCATGTAGTTATTTTGTTTAAGGACTAGGCATGAAAGGACAAATGCTAAGCAAACTTGGATGTTGACACTGTTCTACAGTTGTCCACTGTCTTTTATCTAGTTGCAGTCTCACTGCAAAACATAAAATCCAACTGTGCTACCAGCTGCAGAAGTAACAAAAGATCATTCTGTAGAAAACATTCAACTAAATAAAATCCCATCAATAAATGACATCTGTTGCATTTTCTAATAAATAAAAGTACTTCCATAAAACAACTTGTCTACCTCTTAAATTTTACATTTCTTGTAGGTTATCTTTTTTTTTCTTTTACTGTTATTTCATATAGAAAAATGCAGGCAGGTTGACATAGAAAGTAGTATCTGAAGTTGAAAATCCCAACACAAAATGTGGAAAACACCTTCTAGTGTACGGTGTCTCTGTCCATGTCGGGGAGGTTGGAACTAAATGATCTTTAAGGTCCCTTCCAACCCAAACCATTCTCTGATTCTATGAAATGCTGTTCTGCCTGGAATGCTGTGTCCCTGTTTACAGAAATCAGGGCAGGGGTGGAGATATATATATATATATATATATATAGTCTTTTGCTGCTATACACTGAACAGAAAATAAAGGTAACAGGAAGAAGACATACCGAGCAGTGTCAAGACGCAAGCCAATATTGCTATCAGGGCTCCAGTGCTAAGTCCTGCAGGCAAGATATATGCTTCTGCATTGCATGTCTGAGCAATACCCTCTGCATCACAATCACAGACTCTGATGGTGAGTGTATTAGTGCTACTAAGTGAAGGTGATCCACTGTCCACAATGAATATTGGCAAGTAGAAAACAGACTGTTCCTGTCTTCGGAATCCATTTCTTCTGGTTAAGACTGTTGCAGTGTTATCTAGATAAAGGAAAAAAAAGATAAGTATAAAATACATTCCCTTTGTAAAACACTATCCTACAAATTATACTGTCACTTAAATGTCTTTGCAAACCCATTTATATTATTTCAACAAGATATTAACTTTCCTGGTCATGTATTTCTGAAGCTGCAGAGATATGATCAGCTGAGAAATGATACCCAACTAAACAAAAATATTTATATTTTCCGATAAAAAGAGAGTTTCAAAATTGCAGAGGTATATTTGGTTTTAGTTAAACTCACAGTTCCAAATTCTTGATAAGTAGTTGAAGATGAGATCATTATAAAAAACCAAAAAATTCATCCTTCAGTGATGAGATTAAGTATCTGTATACAAGTTTCAGGTCTGATTTCCAAGGATCTATTTCAATTTTTTTACAGATATAAATATCATATTACTGGAAGGAATTAATATATTAACAAGAGAATAAGTTCTGAAAAACAACAAAATATTTTTTGAATGCAAAATATCCAGTTGGTGCACAAACACAGGTAATTGCCCATGTAATGAAGACATTCACTTGTTTTCAGTCTCCTCTGAGTCAAGATGACTAATATAATCAAAAATGTGTGGTGCGCTGTTACTCTGAGTTGGACAATTAAAAAGTCCATGAGTTCCAGAAAATATATGCAAACTCACTGTGTTCAATACAAGTTGACAGCTCTTGGAGGCAGGGAGCTGCATCTCCTAGAATGTATAGAAAAGGCCGGTCGGTCGGTCAATCTATCTATCTATCTATAGACAGATATATTGATAGTCCTGTAAATCATCTTGTTGTGTCATCTATTATGACTTATCTGGAAAAATATGTAAGCACTTCATACAGCAGAGGCAACTTCTGCTGTGTCTTGTAACTCCATAGGTTTTACTGGCTGTTATTAATAAAAGTCTGTTATTAATTTTTTCAGATTATAAATTCTCTGGAAAAGGGACTGCCTTTTCATTAACTTTAGAGTACTTGTAACAATGTCAGATTTCTGAACAGAGTCTTATTCTAATGCATTTTTATTCTTTTCATCATTGTTACTATTACAGTCTTCAGTTTCAAACTGCAAGCTGCTGATATGAAGAAAATTATACGTCAGTAACAACACACAGGGTAAGGCAATAAATAGCTGAGAGAACTTTATTAGGTCACATGTTATACTTAGTGAATGTTGTTCAAAGTCTGTCTGTACAAACAGTATCCTTTAGTCCACCATATGTCAGTTTTTCTTGTTTTCTTAATAAGGATGACTTTGTAGCTCTGGTTTAGTACTGATCCATAAAAGAGCAATGCAAGAGTAACATAGTGCCTATTTAGTTCTATTTGCTTTAGCTAATAGCTAAACTGACGGATACATGCCCAGCTGCCATACTCTGCGGTGCAACTAATGAGACTACTAATTAGAAGTATGTTCTCAGATATTTTAACTAGTAGAAACACGATGTCAATAGGAGACTTTGCATAAGTCTTTGGGGAAATAATCATAAGAAGTCTGTATAAATATTTTAGGCAGCTTCCATTATCAAAAGCATTCTTCAATAGGTGGCATACTGACTGAAAATATGCATTTTCTAAAAAAAAAAAAAAATACCCTTACTATTTACCATATACTCATTTTTATCCCTAAGTTCTATTAATAAAACATGAATTCCTGGACATTTTTCAGTCACTGCTCCAAGGTAAAATCTAATTTAGATAAAAACCTATAAATATAAGGAAAAAGAATGTGAGAAGAGTGACTTACGGTGGAAAAAAAAAAAATAATTTGAAGATGCTCCATTTTGCTCAAGGCTTAAAATTACTCAAACAACAGCTTAATTCTCTTGACAAATGATCTACAGATAAAATTATTTTGCAGGGTGACTGTAGTTTAATTTATGTCCTTAACAGAACAGCAGTTTATGTAGGACATAATCAGCATGATATTTTCAAAATGGAAGGTATTATTGGTGAATATTTACCCAAAAAAAATGTCCTTACCTTTGTTGTCCTGCAGTGTAAAATTGTGGTTATTTGCTGCTTCTGCTGTTAAACTGAAGTAGAACTGATGGCCATTTGGTGGGTCATCTTTATCAATTGCACTGATTTTCTGGATCACCTATTTTGAGATACATAAGGGTTTCATTGTTTGGACTGGCAAGAACCATAAATAAACTGCATGTGTGTGTATATATATATATATATGTATACACACACACGTGTATAACCTCTCTATTACCTATCAAAGTATCAGCCCTCCCTTGATTCCTGCTCATACTGAATTTTGGTTTTCTAACCTCTTAAGCATATACAGTCCCTACTGTAACTAAAATGGGACTTGACTCTACTTTCCATGTACCAACTTTATTGGCCAAAATCAATGATCTATAGTTCCTGTGAGAAAGTTAGGTCCCGTCGTTCCTGAGGGCTTGGAGTATAAACTGCATAGCAGTGGAAGAACTATCTTCCGGATGACCCTTAATGTATTTATCAGTATCAGCAATCAATACTGTAAACTTTCGCAAGGAGATGATTATGGTTTTGATCATTTTAATTCATATCCTTTTTTTTAATATAATGAAAAATAAAAACCCAAGTCATAAGTATATTAATCTTTTCTGGGATTTATTTTTTCTTATTATTATTTTTTTCCAATTTTATTTCCTAAATTCTGTCAAAATCTGTCTAAAAAAAAGAGTCACTATTGTTTAAAATCCATAAAGAGTGAATAATCAGAGCTAAGGGTTCTGACTAGATCACATGGAAAACAAAAAGGTATTGTAATAAGAGAACACATGTTTTGTTTCTATGAACACAAGCTAATAATTGTAGTGTTTTCTACTAAGGATTTAAATTATGTTGTGGTTTTGAAATGTATAATAAACATCTGCCACAGGAAGGACAATATTCTAGGGGAAAGCACAAAAGTGTAAAGTCTACCAAGGAATATGTGGGATCTATGTGTGTGAAACATCTAGTTTTCTGGGAGAGACAAGAAAGAATGAGAAAATGCATATATTTTCAGAGATCTTACAAAGTAGAGAGCAAAAGTCCAACTATGAAAGACAGCGAGGATGAACAACACCAGATACTTTTAGTTAAGTCCAGGACCAATGGAATACATTTAGGGAGTTAAAACCACTGGGGAGTATGGCAGGAACACATCTCCATGTGAAATTCTGGCCTTATGGACCATACTTCCTAAGGGAAATAAAAGTGTCTACTCATTTTAGGAATAGTAGGTCATAACATAGATTAACCTCTGTGTTATGACTTCCCATTTCCCAGAAAAATTAGGAAGTACACATAATTAATATTATTCAAAACTGGGTGAGTTTCACAAAATGTATCCATTATGTAAGTAAGAAAGCCAGAGATTTTAACAGCATCTTCAAAAAGTAATTTTTACACAAGTCTTTCTCTTCAGAGTTGTGGTGAAAATGTTAGAGTTTGATTAATATTTGCTTGTGTTACACATCAAAGCATTGTTTTTATTTCCGTAAGCTGATTATATTTTATCTTAAAGCTGTCAGGCTTTCATAAGGAGTGGCTGCCTATCTGATAAAAATAAACCTAAAAAAACTATCAAGCGTACCTGACCAGGCTGAGCATTTTCACAGACAGTTGTCTCATACTCCATGGCAAACTCTGGGGCATTGTCATTGATGTCAAGTATAGTGATGGCTACATAACCTCTCCCAATCTGCGCTGGATTCTCTATAGGAACAGAACCCAACAAAGCAATCAAGAACTCCTCCTTGTAAGTTCTTCTTTGGGTCAGTACATTTTTCATTTGCATTCTTCTTTTGCGTATACATGTCAAATCAATTACAAACCCTCCTAGAATGACAAAGGAAGCTCTTGTCTTGATCTACTGGACCTACTGGGAATAATGTTTATTTTTTCCAGCTGCTTCAATTAAACTAAGATTTTACTCTCATGGATAAACTGAAAACCTACCTTACTATTCACAACATTGAATCACATCATATGGACGGATAAGAGCAAGATGATGTAAAACCACCACTAAGAGCTAGCCAGAACAGCAATATTCGTATGGGGAACAGCCCGGTTATTATGGGTTAAATAAATTTTTTGTTGCAATTCAGATTGATCAGTCTATTAAGAAGTTAAAACAAGAATTCCATCAGCTATGTGTAACAAAAAAGAGGAGGCTGTACTCCCAATCAAATCCCAAAATATTTGAAGTGCACACCCAACTAAATATTTCAACACTGTCATTAACACGTTGAACACCTAAAATGTGCATCATATTCTTAAACTGATGCACATCTAAAGTGGAAATACGAATCTGTTCAAGTTCCAATGTCACAATTTAAATTTAAATAGTAGATAGTTTTGGACTAAGCATAAATTACATCAGTGTGTGGTATACTTAGTTTGCTAGATCACACTTCTGTTTTGCAGCAGGGAAAAGAGAGATTGCATTATTTTTTTAACACAAGTGCTAATACTGGTGATAGAGCAGGGCAGAATGAAAATCTGTGCAAACCTTCAAATATGTATCTATCTTTTTGTACTGAGTAAAATCACATTTTAGTAAATATTATACATATTTAAAGCACTACATCCAATTGTAGATCACAAAGAGTTTTGCTTTGTTTTGGTGTTTTTTTTTTATTCCCCATGTGAAATACCAGAGGAGTAAGCAATTTTGACACCAACTCTTTGCACTGCTGATTTAAGCTTATTGACAACCAAGCAGGACATGGACACAAATTAAAGCACTGTAAGGTATTACTTGTGCCCCTAGACTCTCACTTGTGTCAGGTACGGCCCTTGGCTACCTTGTAATTTTTGTTACTATCCAGGAAAATTTTTGGTTTCCATGCTGACCTCCTAGACCAAACTTCTACTTCTGAGAATACAAGATAAATCCATAGAGACACTAAATGATAAATGTTAGCTTTCAGGTTAAACATTAAATTAACGTCATTGAAAGGAAGAAGTGAAGATTTTTAAAATAGCAGGCCAGAGAACTGATAACTCTTTTATTATCACAGCACAACAGAGAAGTAATAAGGATGAAATTTGGTGAAATAAATTCCTCAAATATAAAGGCAAAACCATATAGTTTTTCACATAATTCATTCAGAGCTGAACAAGTTTAGGTTTAAACTTGCATTAACAGAATTCTTGTATGTTGCTTGAAGGGCTTGATTAGTTAACACTTCATCTTACACCACAAAAGATACCAAGTACAAAATATCCCCTACAGTTTTAGAATAAGGAAACTGAAACCACACGAGCTTTCACATCCCATTTCCTTCCTATCTTTGAAGAATGCTGTAGTTAACCAACAGAAATCAACTCTAAATTAGTGCCATCACTAAGATGAGCTAACTGCTCTCCTCTATAGTTCATATCACTTTTTCCCTCTAATGAGACTTGGACTGAGACTGCTGACATAACATATTTCATCTTCCTTTGTCCTTGTTTTTCAGAAGTCAAAATACTACACATGTTGTGAGGCAAATAAAGAACAGATACTGAATCATAGAATCTTAGAATGGTTTGGGTTGGAAGGGACCTTAAAGATCATGTAGTTCCACCCCCCCTGCCATGGGCAGGGACCCCTTCCACTAGACCAGGTTGCTCAAAGCCTCATCCAGCCTGGCCTTGAACACTTCCAGGGATGGGGCATCCACAGCTTCTCTGGGCAACCTGTGCCAGTGCCTCACCACCCTCTCTGGGAAGAATTTCTTCCTGATACCTAATCTAAATCTTCCTGCTTTCAATTTAAATCTGTTACCCCTTGTCCTGTCACTACAGGCCCTTGTAAAAAGTCCCCCACAGCTTCCTTGTAGGCCCCTTCAGGTACTGGAAGGTGCTATAAGGTCTCCGTGGAGCCTTCTCTTCTCCAGGCTAAACAAGCCCAATTTTCTCAGCCTTTCAACACAGGAGAAGTGTTTCAGCCCTCTGAGCATCTTCGTGGGCCTCCTCTGGACTTGCTCCAACCAGTCCGTATCCTTCTTATGTTGAGGGTTCCACAGCTGGACGCAGTACTCCAGGTGGGGTCTCACAAGAGCAGAGTAGAGGGCCAGAATCACTTTCCTCATCCTGCTGGCCACACTTCTCCTGACATAGCCCAGGATACGGTTGGCTTTCTGGACTGCCCGCGCCGACTGCT